CCAGGACACGCAGGGGCGTGGTTCCCATACATGATGTTGTACCTCGTTCCTTTCCTTCAGGGAACAGTAGTTATATGCATAACATTACGTTCTCAGTTTTGGAAAATGGCAACTCGGGATACAGTTTAAGCTTACTCGAAAGATCCCATGTCAGATTCGGAAAGTGCAAAAACAAAGGCTCTTACAAGACTTTTTAGCTGTATGTCTCCCAGGTCCATGTCTCAATCCATATGAGCTCTACTTGGGCCGTAGGCCACTCGTGTCGGCTGCCTAAACGGCTCTGAAAGGAGACGGCCTAGTCTACGGGAGACGTATGTTTGTGTGACCATGCGCTGTCTCGTTACCATTGTTACATTTTATATCACATCACTTCAGTTTTTTCAAGGTATAACTTCACAAAATTCAATTTTAATAGGAAAATGTTACAAGTAAATAAACATTAATAGTTTGGGTTTAGCTGCGTTATCAGTATATGTAACTGCATTTTATTTAACATCTCATTGCAGCGTGTCTTCAGCCAAGTTGTTTAAGTTATATTCTTCAGTCCGTGATAAATTTCCAAACCCAGTCTTAAAAAATAAATAAATAAATAAAAACTCTGCCATCTTTGTTTTTCTGTTTAATTAGTTCAGATGCAACTTACGTTTTTGTTGGCCACATGATTAGGCACCTACGAATTGGGACAGCCTACAGAGGGGTGCTCTGTAGRGGGGAAGCTTTGCTGCAGACTGGGTTCTAGGGAGGAGCTTTGAGTAAATGGGTGGGGCTTTGTACCAGCAAGCGTTTAGGCAGCTCCAAATGGCTATCAAGGGAGATTCAAGGATTTCTCAAACATGCATGAATGAGTCAAAGCAACACTCTGTGTTTGATGAGGGAAAGACATTATAACTAGGGATGCACCAATAAGAAAATTTCAGCAGATATCGATATCCGATATAATTATTGCTGTTATGGCCAATAACTAATATTTAATAATATTACACAAACACACAAATTATACTATACATATACGCACAAACACACGTGTCTTTTTTTGATATTGTAAATAAAGGAGCAGGCCTCTGACATGGCTCCCTACTTCAGTTATTCCTGGCTGCACAACATCACTGTCGCTATCATGATCAAACAGATGCCGCTCAACCAACCATCTCCCCTCCCAAAACAGAAACACAAAGCTAAAAAGTGGGAAATCCATATTGGACGTTAATATCGGCCCAGTTTTACATATCGGGCCGATACGATATTCTAAAAAATGACCAGTATCGGCCGATACCTAATTATAAYATGATATAAAGCTGAAAGTCGAGTCTAAGGCATTATCTGTATTTATTTAGCTAGTGTGTTATTTTTGGTCATCTAATTTAAGAAAATGTTTAAGGTGCCTCTTTAACTGCTGCTGTCATTTATTTTCCTTCACCCCTCTTTCACTTTGTCCTCTCTCTCCAGGTATTGCCTCTCTTTTCCGCCTGTTGAGCTCAGCAGGCGAGGAAATGCAGCCGGGTTTGGCTGTGCTGCTCTGTGAGATCCTGACTGCTGTCTTCCTCAGTCTGTTTGTTCACGGCATGGCCACTCACTCCAGCAACGAGCTGTTTCGCATCGTGGCTCACCCACTCAACAGCAAACTCTGGATGACAGTGTTTGGAGGAGGCGCTCGCATCGCTATCATGGATAAAACCAGCAGTCCAGCAAGAACACCTCCACCAAGTAATTGTTTTGTTATGTCTACTTTTCTGTCTGTCAGAGATGTTCTCTTTTTGGAGGTGTCCCGACAGCTAAATAATATCAGGTTTAGTGAAATTAATTAGTCTATCTTTCAGGTAATTTTGCTTTGTATTATAACAGATTCAATCTTGTCTCTCGTCTCTCCAGCATCACCAGCTGGCTCAGACAGGAGGTCCAAACGGTTCAGGCTTCTTTCATCACGCAGCGGATCCAAGGAAGAGTCTGGGATCGAGCGGGAGGGACCATCCACTCCTAAACACGGCCCTGTTGTAGAACAGGAAGCTGCCTCCATCTTCAAAGAGCGATTTATTCCTCCAGAGCTCAGCATTTGGGATTTTTTTATAGCTAAGGTAATCCACATTATTACTAATAATGGACAAAGTCCCACTGCCATCACATATTTGATAGATTGCCTTTTTGTTGAAATATTACTTAGGCCTGCCACAATAACAAATTTTTTGCTGAGCAATAAATTCTCACAAATTATTGAGATAAATGGTAATGTTTGGAGATGATTTTAAACTCTCCCCTGCTTTTGAAGCTTTTACGAAATTCATGTACAAACTGACCTGGACTGGAGATTGGGAAAACAACACAAACAGCAGCTGCTGAAGCTGTARCACCACTACCCGCCTCATCTATCCAAGCTGGCACAATTTCTTCTTGGTGTCTTCCTCYGGCTTCATAAAACTATTGTGGTCRCCCGCACACTGCTTGAAGTTTGTGTTTTAAATGTAAAATAAAGCAATATTTTATATGGTRCCCTGAGATGTCACCAATTGAAAGGTGTTGGAAAACTGAAGACGCTTCTCTAACTAAATGCCTGTTCACGAGGCTCTCATGCTGAAGTTCACTCCTCCCTATGCTAAGGAGTAAGAAAGAGGGAGACATGAATAAACCATTTAAATTAACTGATTGTGACAGGCATATTATTAGTACATATTTAGGGCTGATATTTGAATATATTACATTTTGATCCTCTTCATTGTGGCTCTGTTTTGCCTTTCAGCCTGAATTGCCGCCATCAGAAAGCAGCATCGATTACGACTCTGAGCAGAGCCAGGACAGCCAAGATGAAGAAGACGAAGATGATGAAGAGGACGCGTTTGACCCCAGCTCTCTGCTGAGAGAGCACTCAAACCACAGTTCATACAGGTAACACAGCACTGTGCGAGCGTTACTCTTTACAGTGACTCATCTCCTCCTCCAGSAACAAGCTGCTGTTCTTCCTGAATGGGTTTGCAGCTGCTTGTGTTTTTCTTCTTATCACTTGTGATGCTTTAAATTCTGCATTTTACATCCCCTCTTAAAACTGTTTCTTTTCCTCCAAGCTGGTGTTTGATGCGTCTGGCCATGGTGCAGCTGGTGTTGGTCAACCTCAAGTCTTTTTACCCAATGGCAGGATATGATCTGTTAGGTAAACGCTAAAACACACCACACTGTCTTTGAAGGTCTAGCATCAAGGATGGATAAAGTGCTGCTTTATCTTCAGCTGTTCCCTCATTTTTTTGTGTGTGTGCCTGGGTTTATTTGTATTTTTACTAGATTTGCCCGTGGTGTCGCCTCTGTGYCACTCTGTCCTGAAGACGCTGCAGCGCTGGGAGCAGGTGTTGCAGAAGAGGCTGGAGCTCTTTGGCGGCCCCCCTGCGAAGTACATCTCAACCTACCTTCATGATGAAACCTCCACACCTGGACCCGCCCTGCTCAGACACAAAGCTCTGTTGGAACCGTCCAACACCCCATTCAGGTAATTCTGAAATAATTCTGACTTATTTTGTGCAAATGTACAGTTGAAACAAACAAAAAAAAGTTCAGAAGTTGTTGTTCAGAAACAGGTCGGCCCGCTGATGTCATTTCCTGTAACCTGCAATCTTTCAACAAGTCCTGATTTTGTTTATTCTGATGGAGAAAAATGAATATGATTTTGTTTATTCTGATGGGGAAAATCACTACGAATTCATTACATTCTGTTTAACATTTTTAGAAACATGGGCTGATTAAACACTTAAGCAATAAGCATTTTTAATGAAAAACAGGAAATGAAGTGCTTTTTCTACTTAATAGCTCAGGAAATGTTAATTTATTATTTCTTGTTGTGATTATAATGATGCAGAATTACTTATGGGTTTTAAGTGACTTCAAAATTTCACGTTTATTTTGTGGAATATGTAAATAAAATGTATTTAAAATGTTGCCTTAAATGTCTGAAATATTTACAAAAAACTGTTTTGTTCTTGGGCAAACTGGCCTATAAAGAGTTTTATTTTTCCATGACGAGTACTGTCATTGTTTTTATCCTAAGTTTTCAAAGTTAAATGTTAATCTGCCAGTAATATTACTTTTTATTTTTGTTTTTCCAGAAGTAACCAGTATTCGTCACTGCCAGTGAAACGTTTATGGCAATATTTAGTCAAGCAGGAAGAGGTTCAGGAGACTTTCATCAGAAACATCTTCATTAAGAAACCTGGCACAAATCAGGTACGTTCCTTTTACCATCTGCCAATCTGCTGCATCAGACTTAATGTAATAACTGTCACTCAATAACACGTTTAATAAAATCATCTGTATGTTCACCCAGGCAAACTGCATCATGATTGCTTTTTACATCCCAATATTTGTTTTTTGTTTTGGTTCTGCATGCCAATCATGTGTATATTATGGTGTCTAGTTGCATGTAGAGGATTTATTTTGGCTCAAGTAATTACATGTTGTGTTATTAACATCACACTAAATCAATCTGTGTGTGTATTTGCATGGTTTATCACTGGTCCTTGTGTGTTTTGTGTGGGTCTACCCTGTGCCGCTTCCCATCCCTGTAATCACTAAAGTCGGTCGAGGAGCAGACCGACAGTATGAAATATTCATGGATGGAAGAGACAGGAAACGATCAGGTACTGCTGCTTAACATTAATTATTGCTTGTGTGGTGTTGGAGTGGGACGATGGGCTTGGTGTCAGACCTCAGTGTCTCTAATCATATATAGGTTTAGCAATAAATGCATGGGTCAATTTTTTAAAGGGGCAATATTATGTGTTTCTCAGGCATATATTTAAATACTATACCATAATAAAGTATCTATGTCACCTTTA